TGCCTCTGACAATCACTCCTCAGTCCAAGGACGCTGTGCCTAGCAATTACTCATGTGTGGGCCTCAGCATGACTCTTATCTCTCTCCCTGGTGCAGCTCCACAAAGCTGGGTGAGAGAGTGCTGGGCTGCTCAGGCCCCAGCCCTCAGATCATGTCTCTGGAAGCCTCCCAATTTCTTAGTAAGTTTCTGTCTTGTGAGAAAGCTTTCCCTTGTTGCAGAGCATTCTCTCATCAAGACAGAAGGAGAGGGGTGCCTTGCCCAGCCCAAAGAGTTTTGTCCTTGGCCAGCCCAAGGACTCTTCCTCCTGCCAGACTCCAAAGATCCATACTTCTGTCATCTCCCTCCCTGTCCGGTATACTCGCTGTACTTTCTCATTTCATTCCAGATGACCCTGTCCTGTACACCAGTCTTTGAGGGGTCTCAACCTCTCAGACCACAACAGTATGAGGTGGTATTTCAGAGTTGTTTTAATCTGTACTTCTCTAATCAATAGTAATTTAGAGCATTTTTTCACATGACTATAAATACCTTTGATTTCTTCTGAAAATTGTCAGTTCATATCCTTTGATGCAGCTGGGTCCTGCAGTGAATAGAGTGCTGGGCCTGAAGTCAGGAAGACTCATTTTTTTTAGTTCAAATCCGGCCTCAGACACTTACTAGCCATGAGACCCTGGGAAAGTAACCCGGTGCCTCATCTGTAAAATGCACTAGAGAGAGAAATAGCAAACCACTCCAGTATCTTTGCCAAGAAAACCCCAAATACAGTCACAAAGAGTTGTACACAATTGAAAACAACTAAACAACAACACACGCACGTATGTATATATACATATATACACACTCAAGATATTATTTCAATAGTATGATTATCTTTGTTCTTTGTTGCTAATAATTTAATGAGATAACTGGCATGAATATGGATTCTGGATTATCTTTCTATCTGACTTTTTACCTCCTTAATTTTCTACCCTTTCCCAACCTTAAGAAATTGAACTTTATGCCAAAATCTGTGAAGGACTTTGGCAACCAAGAAATGCAATTAATAGGGATTAATAGCAACAGTACAAGATGCTAGATATAGAGTTGGAATGGATCCCTAAGCTGTAAGGGATGTCAAAAGTCATCAAGTCCAAGCCCTTTTATTTTACAGATGAGAAAAGTGAGGCCCAGAGAGCTTAAGTTATAACCTTGACTAGGCTCACATAGGTAGCAAGCAGCAAATGCTCAAAGGCAGGATTTGTATGAGGATAATAAGTAACAGAATGAGGATTTGAACTTGGGTCATATGACTCCAAGTTTGGTACTCTTTCCATTGTACCACTTTTATATAACTTTAGCATAGTTCTTAACTTTTTTTGGGTCATAGACCCCTTTGGCAGTCTGATGAAGCCTATGGACCCTTTCTCAGAATGATGCTAAAATAACTGAACAGCAACATATCCTTTGACCATTTAGCAATTGGGAAATGGCTGTTATTTTTTATAAATTTGACTCCATTCCCTATGTATTTGAGAAATGAAGTCTTTATCAGAGAAATTTGCTGCAAAATTTTTTGATATTATTCTATTTTCTATGGTACATTTTAGCAAAATGTAGTTTCTCCGATTATCTCTTTTAATTAGGTCTGGTTTTCCTTTTGCTTTGTCTGAGATCATTATTGTTACCCCTGTCTTTTTTTACTTCAGCTGAAGTAAAGTAAAACAGAGATACTGCTCCGGTCCTTTATTTTAACTCTGTGTGTATCTTTCTGTTTAAGCATGGCTGTTGTAAACAGACTGTATATTTCTCTCCATCCTATTTTCTTCTGTTTATTCTCTCTCTCTTTTTACTCTGTCCCTCCTCAAAAGGCTGTTTTGCTTCTGACTACCACCTCCCTTAATCTGCCCTCCCTTTTATCATCTTCCCCACCAGCATGACTCTATCCCTTTCCCCTTTTATTTCTCTATTGGGTAAGATAAATTTCTGTACCCACCTGAGTGTGTGTGTGTGTGTGTGTGTGTGTGTGTATGTGTGTGTGTGAGTGTGTGTGTGTGTATGTCTTTCCTTTCTTCTTTGAATTCACTCCAATGAGAGCAAGGTTCAAGCATTTTCAACTCCTCTGTAAAAGCTCTTCTTTACAATCCTCATTTATGGGAAAAAGTTTTCCCCATTCTGCCTCTCCTTTCCCCCTTTTCCCAGTTCATCTTCTTTCTTACCCCTTCATTTTATTTGAGATCATGCCAACATAATCAACTCATACTTGTGCCCTCTGTCCATGTAGACTCTTTCTAACTGCCCTAAGTTCTTAGGAGTTACGTATATCATCTTCCCATAGAGAAATATAAACAGTTTAGCTTTATTGAGTATCTTATGATTATTCTTTCATTTTTACCTTTTTATGTTTCTCTTGAGTCAACAGAAGTTCGAATGTCAAATTTTCTATTCAGTCTTTTCATCAGGAATGCTGGAAAGTCCTCTGTTTCATTAAATATCTATTTTTTTCTCCCAGAGGATAATATATCATTTTTTTTCTTTAGGCAATTGGGATTAAATGACTTGCCCAGGTTAAATGACAGCTAGTAAATGTCGCCACCTCACTGCCTCCAGATGATATATCATTTTGTTACGTAGATTATTCTTGGTTGTAATCCTAGCCCCTTTGCCTTTTGGAATATCATATTCCAAGTCCTCCACTGCTTTAACGTGGAAGCTGCTAAATCTTATGTGATCCTGACTGTGGTTCCATGATATTTGAATTGTTTTTTTCTGGCTGCTTGCGATAGTTTCTCTTTGACCTGGGAGCTCTGGAATTTGGCTATAATATTCCTGGGAGTTTTCATTTTGGGATTTTTTTCAGGAGGTAATTGGTAGAGTCTTTCAATTTCTGTTTTACTCTCTGGATCTAAGACATCAGGGAAGTTTTCCTTAATTTTTTGAAATGCGATGTCTAGGCTCTTTTTTTGATCATAGCATTCAGGTAGTCTAATAATTCTTAAATTATCTCTCTGTCCTCAATCTATTTTCCAGGTTGGTTGTTTTTCCAATGAGATATTTCATATTTTTTCCTATATTTTCATTCTTTTGACTTTGATTTATTGTTTCTTGATGTCTCATGGGGTCATTAGCTTCCACTTGCCCAATTCTAATTTTTAAGGCACTATTTTCTTCAGTGAGTTTTGTACCTCTTTTTCTTTATAGCCAATTCTGCTTTTTAAGGAGTTCTTTTCTTCAGTGAATTTCTGTGCCTCTTTTGTCATTTGGCCAATTTTGTTTTTTAAGGTGTTTTCTTCAGTATTTCTTTTGTACCTCTTTTGCCAAGTTTTTAATTCTCTTTTCATAATTTTCTTGCATCACTCTTATTTCTTTTCCCAATTTTTCCTCTATCAATCTAATCTCTTTCTTTAACATTTCCAGGAATTCTTTTTAGGTTTGGGTCCAATTAGTATTTTTTGAGGCTTTGTAGCTATTTTCACATTGTTGTCTTCTTCTGAGTTTGGTCTTCTCTGCCACCATAGTAGCTTTTTATGGTAAATTTTTTGTTGTTGTTGTATATTCATTTTTCCAACTTATTTCTTGTCTTTGAACTTAAAATTTGGCTCTGCTCATCTGGGGATGGAAAGACACTGTGCTAAGTTTCAGGCTTTTTCATTCTGCTGTTTTCAGAAGAGTTTGAGCTCAGGGGAGGAAAGAAGGAAGTTTGCAAGTTTTCAGTTCTTCCAAGGTAGTGTGATCCAAGGAGAGGTGTAGTCACTGCTGTCCTGGTTTGCACTCTCATCTTTACCCAGGAAGGGTCCCTGCTTCCCTGCAGCTAACACTGTTGATACTGGAACTGTGACCAGCTCCCTTGCTCTCCTGCAGCCACAAGTGCTAATGCTCCTCTCAGCCTATGGACTATCTCTTACTCATTTCTGTCGCCCTTCTGCCTAATCAATACCTTAAACATCAATATTCTTGGAAGTCTCTTGGCTAATTGTCAGTGTTCTGAGGGGAGAGGGAAGCAATGATTTAAGCCAGGGTGCTCTGATCCCCTAAATGACTGAAAGGGGGCTTTTAGTCTTTAAAAAAAACAAAAAAAACTAATCGAACCCATTAGCAATGTGTTGCAATCTTTTTGGCCCCCCATCTCTGGGCAGCCATCTCACTTCTACTGTCCTAACAGTAGCTTCTCATGAAAGCAGGTGACGTTTATCTTCTGCCCATGAAACTAGCAATACATGCATATTAGGCACTTGTTTAATTTTTGTCCGGCACTACTACTACAATTCTTTGGTGATATGATGGATAGAGTGCTGGGGCTGGAGTCAGGAAGACCTGATTTCAAATCTGGCCTCAAACACTTACTAGCTGTATGACCTGGACAAGTTACTCAACCTCAGTCTTCCTCAATTTCCTCACCTGTAAAATGAAGAAAACCGTAACACCTACCTCCAAAGATTGTTGGGAAGATAAATTTAGGTAATATTTGTAAAGTACTTAATACAGTGCCTGGCAAATAGTAGGTGCTATCTAAATGCTAACTATTGTTGTTATTAATACAGATAATAGTAATTTAAAAAGCTAAATGAGAGCCCATCTCTGCTCTCTTGCGCTTCCAATCCCATTTTAGGTTGCCATTTTGTTACTTTCTTGGCTTCAGTATCCATTGTGTTCTCATTTTACCTGTTGTAAAAAGAATGGGGCATGAGAAGGTGACACACCCCCACTCCCCACCCACCATGCCTAAACTGTGAGGTCTAGAGGGGCCAGTTTTTCCTGGGGATGTTGCTGAAGAATTGTTTTTATTTTCTTTGAGGGCCGATTAGCTTTAGCTTTAAGAAGACTAATCCTGGTAGAGGTGAAGATGCGAGATTAGGCCACCGCCCACTGTGGGCACTTCGTGCCTTGGCGGGGGTGGGTGGGGGGGGAGGCCCTAACCCCTCAAGACAGGCCGCTGATTGGCTTTAAGACAGCTCTTGTAGGGGAGGCTGTCATTCGGAGCACCTGGACGCTGATAGGCTGCTGGGTACTCCACCCCCTCGCTGATTGGACAGAAGCAGAGACGCTCGTGGATTGGTGGAGTTGCTCGGAGTGGCCCAGGCCGAAAGGCAAAAGTCGGGTTTGGGAGCAGTGATGGCGCTTGCAGCTTGGCTGGGTTGTGCCCGCCTGCCTTGGTGGAGAGTGCGGCCGCCCGCGCCCTTCGCCACGCGGCGGGGCTATTCTACGATGCCTGTGGATGACACGATAAACGGACTGAACGAAGAGCAAAAACAGGTAGCAAAAGTGTTCCCCCGCACCCCCCCCACAGTCTCCCTTCTCCACCCTCCGCCGCCCACAGGAGCTCAGACTCCCTCAGCTTTGCAAGTGCCAGGCGGCCCAAGGTAGACGGACGAGCCCTGGCCTCCCCCTCTTAGGGTCTGGGTCCGAGCAATGAGTGGAGCGCCTCGTGCGTCGGGGCCTCCCAGGGAGCGACCCCAGCAGAGCCTCGGGCCCCCGGGCTCGGGTGATTCCCGAGCTGGACGTCCGGGACCCCGGACGCAGGTGACCCCCAAGCACGCTGTAAGCGGCCCCCGGCGGTGCCTGGGGACTTTAAGGGGCCACCGGGGCTTTGCCCGGGAAACTTCCAGTCCGGCCAGTGTTGTAACGTTAATATTAATAGACATTCTTGTAGGAAAAGGACGTCATACGAGGGCATTCCGAGGACATATGGATGTTCCCTTGGGGATTTGGCTGTGGTGCTCTCCGGTCATTATGGACTGACAGTGTTTCTTATGGCTTTCCTTTATGTAGAGCCTGGTTCTATTGCCCAAAGCTCCCTCTTTTCTGATACCTTCCAAGGCCCCAGAGTCCCCAGCTGTGAGCAGAATTTCAGTAATGGTTGACTATGAATTTGACCGAGATTGAGAATTTAGAGGGACTTCAGGGTTTAATGGACAGTTTGGTGGCACAGTGGATAGAGTGGGGTCTGGAGTCAGGTCCTGAGATCAAATGTGGGCTCAGACACTTACTTACTGTGTGACCTTGGGCAAGTCACTTAACGCTGTTTGCTTCAGTTTCCTCATCTGTAGAATGAGCTGGAGAAGAAAATGGCAAGCCACTCCAGTATTTTTGCCAAGAAAACTCCAAATGGGGTCACTGAGAAGCAGACACAACTGAACAAGAGGGTTTAATCTGTTTTTCATTCTGTAGTCCCAACTGCACCAGAATCATCTCAAACAGCTTTCCTTTCCAAAAGTGCTGCCTTGAAATCAGGGGACCAGTTCAAATCTAGCCTCAATCATTTACTAGTGTCATAACCCCGGGCAAATAAGACATTTAACCTCTCAACCTGCGTTTCCTCATCTTTAAAATGAGAGGGTTGGACTCTATTCTGGCCTAAGGTCCCTTCTGGCTCTGGATGTATGGTCCTGTCTATGAGTGTTACCACTCTGACTGTGTGTGACCTTTGGGCAGAGGGTATCTGGGACTCCAGACCAACTCTAGATCACACCCAGTAAGTAGGCCATCTGAGTTGGCTATTATGGCAAACTAGGGAGAGAAGTGAGAGGGGCTCTTCACTTATTATTACCTTTATGGTCTTGGGCAGATAACTTCACTTCTCTTTCCTTAAATGTAAATAAGGGGATTGGACTTGATCACCTTTAAGATCCCTTTCTGTTTCTAATCTCTGTCTGATTCTCTGATCCTCTTGACAGTTCTGGGGCCAATTTAGAGATTCTGTTCTCCTATGGAATGACATTTCATTTCTAGGTCCACAACTCAGCATCTGTTTTGATGTCCCTCTTCAAGCTGAGGTTGGTTCTTTCAGTATGCCTTAGTGGGGTCACTAGCCTCCAGATGAGGAGAATGTGGAAAGAATTTGTACCCTACAGTGAGTGGTCTCTTCAGCAATGCTTACTCATCTTGTTCTCCCCTCCCTTCTTGTTTCCCAGCTTCGACAGACCATGTTCAAATTTCTTCAGCAACATTTAGCTCCAAAGGCCCATGAAATTGATCAGACCAACGAGTTCAAGGACCTTCGGGTAAGTCCAGAGTTTTGTATTACCGGCATCAAGAAGATATCCTCACATCCTCTCAGAGGAAGACCTGGGAGGAAGAAGCAAAGTGTGCTGTGCTCCAGGAGTTGGGATGGTTAGGAACCCACATAACTGCTTATGAAGATTAATTTGTTTGTATTGGCCACTTTGCTAAAACCTACCCAGTAATAATAGGTCCTTTCTCTAAGTGGCCTGGAATTGAGTGTTTGGGTTCTGTGCAATTGCTTTATATGTCAGATACCGGTCGCTTGGTTTTGCAGTTCCTTTTCTATTTGTAGGAATTCTGGAAGCAACTGGGGAACCTTGGAGTGTTGGGCATCACAGCCCCTGGTGAGTCTGGCCCCTGAAGGAAACAGATTTTCCTACTGTCTTTATGCCCAGTATTCCCAGAAGGAGTGGGAAGAGCAGTGTTTATTGATAATACAAGAGATTTTTCTCTTCATCTTCCCCAGCTCTGTCCTGTGTCCTCAACTTCTTGCCTGCCCCTGCTCAGGGAATTTTCTTCTCTTTTTGCCTAGGATCTTCCTCCATCCTCTTCAGCTAAAGGGTCAATATGATCACCAGCTGGTCTGTTGATTAACTCCCAACCTCCTATGGTGGCCTCCCAGTACCTTCCTTCATTCTTGTGTCTGGACTTGGGAGTAGTTTTGACTTCTGAGAGCTTGAAGTAGCCAGGGGTACATAAGATCTGTCCTCCCTCGTCCTCCCCCTCATCTTCATCTCGGGCTAGACTTAATCAGAGTCCAGGCAATGAATGGATAGTACTGAATTCAGGCTCTGATGAGGATATGGGGACTCAGAGATTCCCAAACTTATTTGACCTACCGCCGTCTTTTAAAAAAAAAATTACTCAGTGCCCCCAGAAATCTATTTTCTTTAACCTTTTAATGATTTTTTAAAAAATTTATTTCAAAAAAATATAAAATATTTTTTAAATGGTACATCTTAAATTTAATATTTCATTGTAAATTTGTGGGGGTTTTCCTGTATTGAAATTTTGATGATGCAATATTACATCATGTAATCATGTAGTATCGTACTGTAAACAAGTTATTACTGGAACATATTCCTGCTTCCCAACAATTCATAACAAAGTCCTCTGCCAACACTTGCTTCTTAACAAGGACCTGTTGGCAGAGTTGACTACTGATTGGTTTTAACTTTCATTTTGTGTGTTTATTTGGAAAATAATGTAATCGCTATGATTTTAACTCTGTGACACAATGGATGAAGCACGTACGAACAGTTTTTCAAAATTTTCTTCTCTTTCCCTATGCTTCCATAGCTCCTTTATTTTTATTCAGTGCCTCCCAGTTATACCCGAGGCTACCGCTGTTCACTGGATCATTGCAGTGTCACCCATTTTGGGAACCTCTGTGGGGACTGAATCTAGAAATGAAACCCAGCTAACTTAGCAAAATCAATCTTCTCCATCCCCCCATTGCTCCCACCCCTCCAAAGACTAAAAGACCTTGTGTTAGATTTCTGCCCAGGGGACTTGATTCTCAATGGCCAGAGAAGGATGAGATCTGGTGGCTGCTTTAGTATCCTAGCATTGCTTCTTCATTTGACGACAGTCCAACCAACAGCTTTTTTGCTTGAGTATGTCAGATCCAGTGTATAATTTTGCCATTTGGCCTTGAGATCCACTTGGCAGCAGGAAGGTTGTCTTTTGCTATTACTGACATGAGAAATCAGAGGGCGGAGCCAGGGTGGTGGAGTAATAGCAGTGACTTGCTTAAACTCTCCCCCAGACACCTCAAAATACCTGTAAAAATGACTCTAAACAAATTCTAAAGCAGCAGAGCCCACGAAAAGACAGAGTAAAACAAATTTCCAGCCCAAGACAACCTGGATGGTTGATTGGAAAGGTATATCGCGCCAGGCAGGGAGAGGATATGAGAAATCCATAGGCCTGTACTGTTGGCCTATGCTTGTTCCTTTACTGAGCCTCATCTCTCACAAAGAGCTTGAGTGTGGTGGGAGCTCAGTTTTATTCATTTAACAAACAAGTTTCCACTATGTCAAAAGCACTGTGGGGAAGTAGAACAGAGATGAATGACTTTACCTTTCTTTAAGGAGATTATAATTAATGAGGAGAGGAAAGACCTGCAAGTTACTGTAAGTGTCTTGGGAGAACAACAACGTGCCTTCGAAGTCACTTAACCTCTCCAGGCCTCAGTTTCCTCGTCTGTAAAATGAAGTGTGGGACTGGATAGTCTCTACAATCCTTTCTAAGACTGTCATCCAGTATCCTATTATTATTTCTGTCTGGGCTGATCAGGCAGAGCCTTCTAAAGGATGTAACTTCTGAGTTGAGTCTGGTAGAGCAGAGATGGAGGAGGGTTGACATTCCTGACAGAGGGAATAGCATGGCAGAGACATAGAGAGAGGGAAATGTGTGGGAACAGCATGTGGTTTAATTATCAGCCAGGGTTCTTTGTGGAGAGCTCCTAGGTCAAATTGGAGAAGGAGGAGAGGGAATGAAGAAGGAGGAGATTGTAATGACATCTATCCCAAAAACTTTGAGCCTGGTCAGGGAAGGAACATGGCGTGGGGGGGCGGTAGGGAGGAGGTTGACTTGAGTGTGGTAGGTATGAAGCCCAGTTACTCTTTCTGAAAGATAGGAGAGTTCCCACTTCCCACCTCTGCCTGGAATAGCCTAATCCAAGACTTTGAGACCAGGAATGTCACCACCCCAGTACAAAAATCTGCTTTGTCTTGCTATTTACCTGAGGATTTGTGAAGCCCCTATATCTTAATGCTCTTTGGCCTTGGGTGCAGAAGGCATTCCTTTTGCTTAGTTCTCTATGTGCCCAAAGAATGAGAGGTGCATTTAACTGGAGTGGTGAGCCAAAGGTAAATTCTCAGTCCTGGGCAAGCCCAAGAATTAGGGCATAGGCAGAAGCAGGCTTTGGTGTGCTGCTGTCCTTTGACATTCTTCTTGAAATGCTCTTGCCCAGTGGCTGGAGCAGTGCTTTTGTCCTGGTAGGTGATTTAAAAATGTTGAATGAACATACTCTTATCTCCCTTCCATGGCAAATATGCTTTGTCACAACAAGGAGTTCTCCTAATGATCTAAACTTAACTAAAGGAATGGAAAAAAAAAGCCATTGACTTCTAAATAAGAGTGCTAGTTTTCCACCAGTCACCATAGAGAATATGTTGTGTCAAAAAGTGTTTGATTTTTAATGTGAGTTAGAACTTAATAAAAATACACCTGTAGAGTTGGGGGATCCTTGAAAAGATAGCTGACTTTGAGCCCTCTTGCCTAAAATAGCTTGGCAAATTTCCTAGCTACCACAGTGCACCAGCCTTGTTTTGGTTTATTTTCAGTTCAAATGGCATGACAGTTTTACTCCCTGAAAGACCCTAACATGGCCTTCCCCAAGAACTACTCTGCTTTTTGTACATAGCTCTACTCATTTTTTTTATCTTTTCATCTCAGACTCTTCCTACCAAAAATATGTCATCTGTGTCACCAGCCCAGTTTCCGATCCTCTAGGTTTATAAGTCTGTGCCAAGAAAACCTGTCACTTAGAGCCTATCTACCTTTGACCCCTTACCAGCATCTCTCGTACCAACATCGCAAAAACCCCTTTCTTGTCTAAATTCCATACCTCCAAACTTAATTATTATTTGAATTGGCTGACAACCTGGTATTTCTTCCTCTTTTTTCTGAAGTGATAGATATGGCCTGAGATACTATTTGTAATTGCCTTCTAGGCATCACCTTGATAGGAAAGGAAAGACGAACAGAACCAGTTTGATAAGTTTTCAGGTATAGTCCAGAACCATCCTGTAGACTAGATTGAAAATTGTAAGTGTTGAAGGGACTGTGGGAAAACAGGTACATTAATTCACAGTTCATGGAAGTGTAAATTGGTCTTGCCATTCTGGAAGGCAATTTAGAACTATACTCAAAAAGTTGTTTAACTGTAAACACTTTTTGACCCTGTGATATCACTATTGGGCCTATACCCCAAAAAAGTCAAAGAAAGAAGAGGGACCCATATGTACACAAATAGTTATAGCAACTCTTTTTACTAAGAGTACCCATCAGTTGAGGAATGTGATAGAATACTATTGTACTATAAAAAATGATGAAGGGGATAGTTTCTGAGGAACTTGGTTAGACTTGTATGAACTGATACAGAGCAAAGTAAGCAGAACCAGAAGAATAATTTATACAATAACAACATTCTAAAGAGAAAGAACTTTGAAAGACTTTAGAACTCTGATCAATGCAATGACCAACAACTGTTCCAGAGAACATGTACCCACCTCCTGACAGAATTGATTAAATCTGCATTAAATTTTTTGGACATGGCCAATGTGGGAATTTCTTTTGCTTGACTATGCATATTTGTTACAATGATTTTGTTTTTGTTTTTGTTTTTTCCAATGGGGAGGGAAGACAAAGGGAGAGAAAATAGATTTTTGTTGTTGTTTTTATTTTTTTTTGCACTTAATAGTATTTTTTTTTCAATTACACGTAAAGATAGTTTTTAACATTCATTTTTGTAAGATTTTGAGTCCCAAATTTTTCTCCCTCCCCTCTCCCTAAGACAGCAGGCAATCTGATATAGGCTATACATGTACAATCATGTTAAACGTATTTCCACGTTAATCATGTTGTGAAAGAAGGATCAGAACAAAAGGAAAAAACTACAGGAAAGAAGAAACAAAAAAAAAGTTGAAATAGCATGCTGTGATCTACATTCAGACTCCGTAGTTCTTTCTCTGGATAGCATTTTCCATTACAAGTCTTTTGGAATTGTCTCCAGCCATTGCATTTCTGAGAAGAGCCAAGTTGATCATCGCACAGTGTTGCTGTTATTATGTACAATGTTCTCCTGGTTCTGTTCATTTCACTTAGCATAAATTCATGTAAGTCTTTCCAGGTGAGAAAATAGATTTTTAAAAAAGAACAGACCATGCTGGACACAAATTGGAAGTTCCTACTTTTGTAATCCTAAAGGAAATAGGCCAGTGGGCCTCGCATACTAAAACAAAACTGCAGGTTAGGATACCTTGGCTTGAAGAGACAAGACTTATATAGCAGAACTGAAATGTTGAAAATGCCAACCAGATTAAATTTCTTCCTTTGAAAATGGAACGCTGTAGCCAAATAGCATTAGTGTGACATTGCACACCGTGAAACTCTTCTTTGCTAGGGTGCATTTTGGTAAGATTAATTTACTTTGTTATTATTTTAAATGCATTTCCATTTTTAAATGGATAATTGTAAGTGAGAAATTTTTTCTTTTTAAAGACACTTTTTCAAATGAATTTTTTTTCAGTTACTGTATATGAACCAAGAAAGATAACTTAGTTTTAGGTTGTTTTTTTTTTGTGAATGGATTTTCAGTATTTCTTTTGCAGTTTAATATCTCGACGTTACAGGAATATTTTAACTCACTAACTACAGACAGACTGGAATTATTTTTTTTAAACTCTTTACTTAAGGTAGAATATTAATAGGTAGGATCAAAACAGTGAAACAGTGTGTTAGCTTTTTCTCAAAAGCTCAAATGTTTTTTGTACATGTGCAGATTTTAAGTTCTCAAAATAAATGCCTTTAAAGATGAAGAAAAAAAAAAGACATAACAAATTAGCCAACTGTACCACCCACCCTGTCTTGGCTTTCCCATTGAGAAAAGGCCACTTTTCTCTAGGGTTGGAGGAGACAGGTAGGTTTAAATGGCTGAGGTTTTCTTAGTGTACACTAAAACAGAATATCTTTATTTCTCTCTTTTAAAAAATTTTTAAATGTTATTCCAAGAATAAGTAAACAAGTATAATGGACATTGTTTTAACTACTATGAAACTAAACTCATATAATAAATTAAGCTTCACTATATATTCACAATAAGGTCATTACTAACAGAAACAAATATTTTCCTTAAGTCACAATATGAAAGATCCTTGAATTTAGGCAATCATGTTTCACTTTTTTGGTGGGGGTTGGCTAAGTCTATTTTAGATTTTTATATATTGCTTTTGTTTTTATAGCACTTTAATTTTTGGTTATATACCTCCTCACTCTCCTATCCGTTGAGTCATCTCTTCTAACAAAGACTGAAAAGAAATGGGGGTGGGGGGGAAAGCCAGTTAAACAAAACTGGCCAACCCTTTAGTCAAATCTGAAAGCATAGAGTCCTCTACCTCTTTAAGAAAGGGAGGTACATTTTCTCATTTCTTCTCTGGGCTGGCTGGTTGAGTTTAAAAGTAAGTTATTTGAAAACCCTATTGTGCTAACTAAACTCTAATTTCACCTGACTTGAAATACTCATCACTAGAATCACTAATGGGTTAAATATTGAGGCATTATTACCAGGTGATGCTTTTCTCCCTCCCTTCCACCGGCATCTAATCTAATGCTTCAGTATGACATGTAGATGATCCTGGGTTATTGGAGGCTTTGCCAGATCCCAGCAGGTAGAAAAGACTTTTTAAGAATGGTCTCAATGACAGGCTGCCAGAGAACCCAAAAGCCAAGGGCTTGTGGTTACACAGAAGTCTCATACCTATATAGCATACAAATTTTCTTTCTGGGATTTAATGTTTTTAATGCTCTTTTCTTTATTTATGTCGTAGTCACTTCCAGTGGCTTCCCACCATTAAAAGAACCTTCCAGTGCTCCAAATAAGTACAGTCAAGCAAAACAAATTAACACATTGACCGTGTCTGAAAATGTATCAGTCACAGTGTTTTTCTCCTAAAGAATTCAAAGCAGTTGTATTTTTATGGCTGCCATTATTTTATCTTTGCTGTCTCTTCTTCCTCCTCCTCCTCCTCCTCCTGTCCTCCCCTCCCCCCAGCTCAATATGGTGGCTCAGGCCTGGGCTTTCTGGACCACGTGGTAGTAATGGAGGAGATATCCCGAGCCTCTGCATCTGTGGGACTCAGTTATGGAGCCCACTCCAATCTCTGTGTCAATCAGCTTGTACGAAATGGAAATGAAGCCCAAAAGGAGAAATACCTCCCCAAGGTAAAGATGTGTGGCAGGAGTGTGTGCAGCAGGGTAGGGTGTACTGATGTGGCCCTTGGGAATAACCTATCATTCAGCAACCTCCCCTGATGATTTGGTCCAATGACAGTTTAATAACCATTCTGTCCTGGACTTGATATGGTTGGAATAAAACTCCACATTCCAGAGCAGATCTGTTGATAGTGTCGATATGTGAGGTCTTATGGAAACAGACATATTGGCATGATTCATCAGACCTTTAGGGACAAGGCAGAGGCTCTCTCTAGTTCTTGAGAAACAAACCTTTCTTTTCCTCGGCCCTCACCAGTGCTCAGATCCAAAAGGAAGATGTTCAGGGGTGAAATCCAAAGAAGCCACAAAGAAAGCGTCAGGACTTTGGTACAATGGGTAGCTGCTGGAAGAGCCCCACATTTCCTCATGATGGTTTTGTGATGTCTCTCATAGCTCATCAATGGGGAACACATTGGAGCCTTGGCCATGAGTGAGCACAATGCTGGTTCTGATGTTGTGTCCATGAAGCTGAAAGCTGAAAAGAAAGGTATGATGGCTCTTAGCTTCAACCCTGGGCAACTGGCAACCATGACAGGATCAAGGGAAGACTTTGGGCCAGGGTGGATGGTGGGGAGAAAGTGGCATATTAAAAGAGTAGCATTTGGGCTCCACATAAATGTTCTAGTTATGTTCCTTGGACCAGGGAATGTCCTACTTTTAAAAGGATCTACATTCTCTGATGGGTTAAGATGGAAACAAGGGATCTGGGCTGACTAGCCAGAACTACATCTCCTTAGGGGATTACTACATCCTGAATGGCACAAAGTTTTGGATCACCAACGGACCAGATGCTGATGTCCTCATTATCTATGCCAAGACAGATATGTCTGCTGTGCCAGTTTCTCGAGGCATCACAGCCTTCATTGTGGAGAAGGTGAGCAGGGGCAAGTATGCATCCCAGAGTGGGGATGTGTTTCCTCATGGCACTAAAGTCAAGAGACTGATTTTACTGCCAAAATACTATTCTTTGCCAACTCTGACCCTGATAGCCTCCTCCTTCTTAATACCTTCTGGCATCATATTACATTATAGGTCAAGTCTAAGATTCTTTAAATTTAGCTACCTCATTTCCTATGTCTCTTCCTGTGCCTCTGGACTAACCTCTCTACCTATCTCAAATAAATTTGCTTCTGATCACTTTACACCTGTCTTTAAACTTTGTCCAGCACTACACCCCACACTTAGAATTCCCACTTGCTACACAAAACTGTCTCCTCTCAAGCAGCATTTGAAATGCTATCCTTTCTTTGAAGCCTTTTCTTAATTAATGGAAAGAAACAGTTCATTCTCCCTTGACCCTCCTATCAAAAAAATGTAATTCCCAAAGTTTCTTCACCTAAAACCCAATGTTACTATACTATATAGCATTCTCTTGTCTTTTTGTCCATTTATCTCCATCTGTATCAATGTGTGTTAAGCTCCAAGACGGCAGGGACTGTGTCTGGAGTTTTACTTGTATATAACCCCTCATCCAGTCCCACGTAAGGTGAAAAGCTCAATTAAAATGTTTTGTGTTGCTGGCCAAAGACCAGCCTCTCTTTTTTCCCCATCTTCTCCTCCATTAGGAATTTGGAGGACTTGAGTGGAATTCACAGGGAGCTATATGCTAGAATGAGATCCCCAAGCATGAGGCTCAGCAGTTTCTGCATTACCAGAGTACAGAATCACCATTTCTCATTTAATGTGGTATTAATTGGATCTAATTGGTCTCTGTATTTGCTCTCTGCCTTCTTGTGAGGATCTTTGATCCTTTCTAAGGATCCAGCCTAGGAGCATTTCTTATTCCTCCACACAGGGCATGCCTGGATTTAGCACGTCCCAGAAACTAGACAAGCTGGGAATGAGGGGCTCTAACACCTGTGAGCTGATCTTTGAAAACTGCAAGGTGCCTGGTGAGTATCCTTGAGCATGATCCCTGGTTCCAGCCATTCCACCCAGAGATGGTAGGAGGAGAGGAAGAGGATCTTGTGGATCACCATGTCCAACCCTCTCATTTTACTGTCAAGAAAACAGGCCCAGAAGTTTAATGACTTGCCCAAGGTCACACAAGCATCGGAGCCAGGTTTTAGGCCCAGCTCCTCTGACTTAAAATCCATGTTTTTTTCCCATTACACCGTGGTTCCTCCCATTCTTCTAACCCATTCTTCCTTGAAAAGTCCTGTTAGACTGTCCATCAAGAATCTGTAGTTAGGCCCTTAATCATGGGTAATATTAGGAAGATGTCACTCCTGACCAGGTAGTTTTAGGGCAGTCATGCCCACACATTAGAGTCTGAGGGGATAAATTATAATCCTTATGCAGAGAAATAGGCTAGGTCTCTGGTTCATGTTAATCTTGACAGAGAACTAGTATATGGGACACAAAAACAGAGTCTGTACTGAGCCAATAATTCCCTACTGAGTACACGGAATCCTTGTCTAAACTGACAACTTGAATTATTCACTGGCAAGGGTGAAAAACAGAACAGAACTGTCAGTGTAGACCCAGTGGGAAGATGCTAATTTACCATCTGAATTCTTCCTCTCTGATCAAACAGAGCATCTGTGATAAGGTGACAGTCTAAGGAGGGCTAGTGCCAGTCTGATCATCCCATGGTCCAGGTGACATTACTGTTAAGTTCTGAATTAAATTTCCCACCCAGACTATGTGCCTCACAAAATACTGCTTTTGTCCCAAGGCAATAATTATGTGGATGGATCAGTGTTTGTCCACTGATTTTTTTTTTTAAAGAGCTCAAAGCTCAACTCACTGAAGTGTATCATTTCTGTAAACTCAGGACACTAAAGGCCATTTATATTAATGGAACAGTCATATTGTCCCCAATATCCAGAAAAATTTTCAGCAAAGTCCCTGTGTCACTGAGCATAAGGTGAGTGGCTTCTAGGGCCTAAAACTTGCCTTCCCCTTTCTGTGACCCTGGAGTGGTTCAGAATGATGATTCTATGATAGGACTGAAAGAGAACTAGAGATCACAGTCCAGCCCCTTCATTTTACAAAGAAATAGAGACTCAGAGCTGTGAAATGTTGTTCGTGTAACTGATAAGTGTCAGAGCCACAGTCATAAGCCAAGGATTCTGGGTCCTGACCCAGTGCTCTTTCTATCACACTAGAAATCCTATGGAATTTTCCAGAAGGAGATTCGACCAAGTTCACAAGTCCCTAAGATCTTCCTATTCTAGACCCAGTACCCTAACCTAGGTAGTCCTAGGGACTGGTGTGTAGGAAGCATAGCATCAGTGTGGAAGATTGGTGTCAGTAGAGGGAACACAAAGTGTTCTTTTATTATGACCCTAAATATAGGTAAAGGTGACCAGTATGGTGATGGTTTTAGACCTGGAACGGACCTTAAAGATCACCCAGTCTAATCTTTTTGATTTATTTATTTTTTTTATTTTTTAAAATTTTTTAATTTTTTGCTTTTTGGTAAGGCGATCAGGGTTAAGTGAGTTGCCCAGGGTCACACAGCTAGTAAGTGTTAGGTGTCTGAGGCTGGATTTGAACTCAAGTCCTCCTTACTCCAAGGCCAGAGCTCTCTTTACTGCCCCACCTAGCTGCCCCTCAGTCTCTTCAATTTACAATTGAGCATATGGGCCCAGAGAATGACCTGATTTACTTAATCTCACAGGTCTGCTAAAGGCCATTGTTGGGTGATGTGACCAATGGATCACAAGAAGGAGGCAGATGTAACAATTTAAGCCTTGCAGATTTAAGAGATTTTTAGTCCATCCCTGGTGTGGTGGAAAGAACAATGGACTTTGAGTCAAGAAACCTGAGTTCAGATTCCACCTCACATACTTAATAGTTGTACGTCCCTGAGCAAATCACTGTTATCTCTCAGACCTTCCATTTCCTCATCTGTAAAATGGCAAATAATACCTGGTATTAGTAACATGAAAAAGTTGTGAGCAATGCATTTTGTTAACTTTAAAGGGCAGTTCCTCTTAATTGTACAACATACCCTCCAGCAAATATCTCTTGAAAAAGCTCCTCTCTTCCATCATGGGTCTTGTGAGTCAGGTGCAGCTTATTAAGCACTTGCATGCATTTGGAACTGAATGGGCTAATGCGGACTTTGATGAAAGTTCATCCAAGATGCAGTGATAACTGTCTATTGGAAGCTCTGTATAGTCCTCTGTTTTCATCTGACTTGACACTTTCCCCAATAGTCTCCAATGTCCTGGGTCACCTGAATAAGGGTGTGTATGTACTGATGAGTGGACTGGATCTGGAGCGGTTGGTGCTGTCTGGTGGGCCCCTGGGGTAAGTATGCATTACCTAGATTTGAGTCTCCCTCCTTATTAGCTGCTGCCATCAGTAGTCTTCCTTTAGGACCCTGGATTCCTCACCTCTGGCTTCAGTTTTTCCTTCTTTGGAACAAAGGTGATCTCTCTCTCTCTCTCTCTCTCTCTCTCTCTCTCTCTCTC